AAGATTTGAACAGAGGCTGTAGTTTCCAGTGAAGTATATTTTATTTATTTATTTCAAATGGCAGAATTTGAGATATTTATCAATATCCCCTAAGTTGACTTCGGCTTTAACGGGGGGGGGGGGAGAACATCAAAGTGACAAAAAGTCGAGAGGGGGGACAGAAAAGTAATTCACAGATGTAAAAGAGACAGACAGACGCAAAGGCAGATAAAAGGTAAAGTGAGTACTGTGAAAGTGGTCGAATCTGACATACAGTGGGGTGATGGTAGTTTGAAGTGAGAAGTCAACTGCCGGTTAATAGACTTTTTTGCTGTATGAGTATACGTTGCCCAGGGTGCACCACGTGGAGGTAAGTCTATCGCACAACCCCAGTGAAGTATATAGTTAGAGTAGAATAGATGTTAAACTTGATTGTCTGAATTTACAATTAGGTAAATTGTAGTTAAAACCCTAAGACAGTTGCGCGAATTCTCCACATGACTTTCAATTCACATTCTAAAGAAAAGAATGAATTGGCTTTTATGCTTGATATCTCTTCCGATAAAGCTATAAACTATGAGAGGAGTTGTTATTTGAATGAATAAATGGTAAGTTGTTTTAAAAGACTGAGTACTATGCAGATACCTTACTTGATCTGCGAACCTACAACGCCAATAGTTAAAACACAAAATAAAGCCCTCCATTCAACATCTGAATTGTGTTTCAATCGTGGTCCATGACTTTGTGAACTACTCAAAAGGATGCCAAAGTTCATTTTGGTGAAAAGCTCTTGACAATGACGAGAGAAAACTTTTCTGTCATATCTCACTTTGTGCTATTTTTAGGGCGTTGTACACTTTACTTGGCTTATATATATATATATATATATATATATATTTGCGATTAAAAGATACTTTTCCATAGTTTCCTTGCAGAAAGATTTCGTAAAATCGTGATTTAAATTAATCAACGCTGAAATTGACTTCGCCAAAAGACAGGAGCCTCTCTCCGCTGGAATTTATTACCTTCAGTCCGGTCAGTTAGGTTTGCTTCCAATTGTGATGGCATTGTAAACTCTAGCTATTAATTTTTAAAACAAAGCAAAAGATAGATGTAACCATAGTGATACAATAAAACATCTCAGAGGAATATATATGATTGTATTATTGCCACCAACGGGTGGATTTCAAGTGGGAATATTACAGTTAAGAACGAATTTCTTTTGACCTGTTCGTTAGATGGAAGTTGAAATATGATAATTCAGTACTCCATATTCCAAATGTCATCCAGTTGTGGATGGATAATTTTTTGAAAAACTGAAAATCGTTACATTATGTGAGAATCTCAAAGTATAAAAACCTTTGGGTTAAGATGCATTGTTTTACCCACAACGATTCATTCAAATTATGTGACAAATTATTTTGCACATATTTTACATTTGTTAAAGACAGGAACGCTGCGTTGAAGAACTTTGGAACGAATTTTGAAAGTATGCTTAGTTCAGTGTTATTATTGAATGCTAAGTTTTGTGTCAATTTGAAGGATAATTGGGTAAAAAAATTGTTCCAATTCACTACAAGTTGATCCAAAGTTTAGACTTCTTGATTTGAGCCACATTTGTGGATGGAGCTATTACCTGCAAGTGCCTATTCCATCTTCCTTCATACTGAGCTGAGGTAACTATTGGAAATGTAATCTCTCAGTTATTTCTAATTTATTAAATGAAAAAATAGGTATTCGCAAATTAATGCCTAGAAAGATTAGTATTTGGTCAAATGAGCAATGTATGTCGACAACAGGAAAGCTCAATCTAAATTAGATTGATAATTTAATTTAATTAATTCTGTAATAAAGTCGATATTTCATTGTTTGTTAGAGAATTATGAAACTTCATTGAATCTTGATAAGTGCACGTGATGTCTACTGCACTATTACTTTTTAAATACTTATTGAATCCATTACTGTGAGCTTACACCCCAACTGTTTGATATATATATATATATATATATATATATATAGAAAAGATTATATTGAAATTCTTATAAGTAGCTTTCATAGTCGATGAACTAATGAGCAAATGCCAAACAATCTTATTTATCTTACTCTAAACATTTCAGTAGAGTTTTATAAACAAAATTACTGACCACCGATAGAGAATCGATTTTAATAGTCTGTCGAAATGCCTCCACTTATCAGCCATAAAATACCTCGACCCTTCTAAGATAGTACCAGTTAAACTGCAAAGAATGATAAAAATTATTTTCAGCACTAAAACGGGTGATTACAACGATAAAAAGCAAATTCCGCACATGGCATTCCTCCGCATGGAAAATCTTTAACACTTAATACATGAAATTTGCGTATTTATTACAACGAATCGTGCTGAAATAATAGATTTCTGTACAAGGTGCTCGTAGTACACAGTTAACAACAATTTAACACAATTATCAGCGGAGAGATAAAGTAGTAGGAGAAGCTGAAATGAATCATCATCTTTCTGAAGTGAGGAGCATAATTTGATATCCGGTAGAGCGTAATTATCTTGAATTCACCAAAAGGAAGGAATTAAGTCATGAAGGTGTACATATCTGTTGTCAAAATCTTAAGAGAGCCGGTTAAAAGTTAATTGTAAAGGGCCGCAGAGGTGACAGGAGTAGGGAATAGATGTTGGAGAGGAATCTAAAGAGAGTTGACGTTGTCATTGGAACGTCGAAATGAAGCCGCCTGTTTATACTCGCTTAATTCCTTCAACATTTTCAGTCGAGTCTTGTAACCGGTCATCACTATCATGAAAAGGGACTAAAATCGAAATAGATGCAATAAATGGGTGATGTTAGCAATATTGATCGCAAATAATGTCTTTTGCTTACTACTAAAATGCTTTTAGTACATAGTGTTTACACTTTAAATAATCTACAAATTAATTCAGAAAAACGTCTAGTAACATAAATGAATTGGGGTGTGCCATAGACTTTCCTCCACGTGGTATATCCTGGGAAACGTATACTCATACGGCAAAAAAGTCAATTAAATGTCAATTGCCTTCTCACTTCAAACTACCATGACTCCACTGTATGCCATATTCCACCACTCCACGGTACACATCTAGCCTTTTCCCTGCCTTTGTGTCTGTCCGTCTTTCACATCTGTGAATCGCTCTTCTTATCCCCTGTCATATCGAACCCCTTCCACAGAACTCACCGTAACTTTACTCTATTTTAGTGCCTGTCTGTCTTTTCTACATCTGTAAATCACTCTTTTGTACCCCCTCTCGAAATTTCCACTTTGATTTTGCTCCCTCTGAGAAGCCCGAAGTCAGCTAAATGGCCAATGATAACTATTCAAAAGGCCTGCCATTTGAAATATTAATAAGAATAGTAAAAATGAACTGAAAATAGGGAATTTCAAACCCTGTTTAAATTGTCTAACGCGTTATCCAGTAACAAAATCAACTTCTAATTCGATATGGACTCTTGAAGGCAACTAATAAGTTGTAGAAGTTGCGAAATTAATATTTCCTTTAATAGTTATCAGAGTAATTCACTGATGTAGATAGCCTAAGGCAAATGACAAGCTCCATTTAAAAAAAATAGATTACAAAAAGACCAATTTTTGGTAAGAGTAAATGCAGAACTTTTCCATTATTTATGAACTTAAAATATCGCTTCTGACATGTTATTAGTTCAGAGCGTCGTGAGAACTAGCTAAAGCCCTTCAATTTGGTTTCACAGGAAAGTAGATAGACGGTGTCAAGAATGATGTAAAATAAATGCGAGTAATAAACGATTTTTAAGTAATTCATTTGAATATATATATATATATATATATATATATATGTAGCAGCAGGATTATAAGTACCTTCCTTTCGCTTGTCAATGTGCAAAAAAAAGCTAAAAAAAGACATTTTCATGCCAATTAACGAAATAATTTCGCATCGGGTAACAGCGTCAATTTAGTTCGCATTTCCAGCCCACGCTCATGCCAATTAACCAAGCGTTAATTGGTGAAATCACGATTTGTTTTTTAGCGACTGAGTTCTGACACCACTTTCAATGCTATCTTACTGTGAAACTAAAATTGAGGACTGGGAGACTTCTACCAAGAGGGAAAGTGTTGAAAATTTAAAATGAATTTAAAACGAGAAAAATGTTAATTACCAATGCGCTTTGTTATTTCAATGAAAAAAAAGAAATAGACAGAAAATAACTATTTAAAAATTATTTATCACTAACTCCCCCCCCCCCCCCCCCCCCCCCCCCCCCCACCCCACCCACCCTCCCCCATACACTCTAAGATTAAATTCCGATAAAATTGATGCCAACTTTGATTTGTTCCCGATATTATTCCCCGGCTGGCAAATGACGACTCGTCCACGATTCTGCAGGTACATCATCTCGACCGTTGCTTAGGAAGCTTTAGAAAACCACAAAAGGAATTCAAGGGGTGATTCAAGGCTCAAAGGAAAGGGTGAATAGCTTCTCCTGGGAGGTGTTAGATAATAATGAGTAACTATTTTTTTTTCAAGAAATTTAAACAATGTATTTTTTGCAAAGCATTCAATAAATTTGCGTAGTTATTTAAAATCAATAAATTATGGGATCGTTGCTTTGCATAATTTTGGATCAAAGTCTGAAGTATTAAGGCATTTATTGAGTTCTCTGTTCTCTGGCTATTTAGGCAGGCGAATATTTATTTATTTATTTATCTTAAATGGCAGGCGTTTAGTTAGTTATCGCCTGCCCTGTAGTTAACTTCTGACTTCACCGAGAGGAGGTGGAACATCAAAGGGAACAAAAGTCGAGAGGGAGAACAGAAGAGTGGTTCACAGATGTAGAAGAGACAGACAGACACAACGGTAGGGAAAAGGTAAGGTAAGGTGAGTACTGTAGAAGTGTTGGAATATGGCATAGAGTGAGGTGATGGTAGTTTGAAGTGAGAAGTAAACTGCCGATTAATAGACTTTTTTGCCGTATGAGTATACGTTGCCCAGCGTGCACCAGGTGGAGGTAGGTCCATCGCAAGCGAATATAAACTAAAAGAATCTTTAAAGACTCCTAGAGAACTTCATGAGTGAAAGTTTCGTAGCATGAGAGGGGCCAATTTTCGCAAATCACTTTTTTTCTAATTTGAGCAATACTACTAACACTACTACTACGAAACATTTATTAAAGTCCGATAAATGTCCAATTATTTGCCTAAATTCTACAAAAGACAATTTGCCTAAGTGGAATGCTTTCTTTTGTCTTTGCTTTATTTGAGTTTTTATTTTAAAAAAACATTTTTTGTCTATTAACTTTTATTACTGTAGATACTGCAAGCAATGCATGAATTAATTATGCTCAACTTACCAGTCCAATGTCCACTAGAAGCGCACCTCCCAAGCCACATCCATACAAAGATCCGGCTGTCTTCACCTGAAATAAATAAATAATTATTACTCACACTTACCTCTCTCTCTCTCTCTTGACATTAAAATACTTTGACATGTGGACATACCGCTGAACAGAAGATCTTAAACCTCGCTTGTGTCTTAATGGTCTCCTGAATATTGCGGAAATCAGGATACTTCCATGGTTGAATATATATTCCTAAAAAAAGAGGACCAAAGCCGTTAGTTGGATAAATTCTAAAATATAATGTATATATATATATATATAATATAATATAAAATATATTATAATCATAAAACACCCGAAGTATGAAAATTTTGCATATACTAAATGGGGCTGATCACAGATCCTCTTAGAGGTATGTAAGTGAGCGAGGTCACTGACCATAAGCAGTGAGGTTAAAGACGTAGTAGAAGGGTTCAGTTCTTCCGATTCCAAGTTGGGCCACAAGGGATTCGTTGGCCTTAGCTAGTACACTGGGGACTCCGACGACTCCAGGGCCAATCGGTGAAGGCACCGGCAGGCTTTGTCTCCCATATGTGGGAGTCTCCCATCGGGGTCGTTCCAGTGGTTGAAAACCTGGCTCCTCCCAAATTGGTCGAAGTGGAATGCTACTCTGGTGGAAACCCGGTCGACGCACACCCGGTCCTGTGTACACACCGGCTAATTCGTGCTCGCAGACGCTCGCTATCATACACCACGCCACATTCGGTATTGCCAACAGCAGGGTGTAGAGTATCCACAAGAAGAGCAACCCAAATGTTGTCCACAGGAACTTTACAAGAAAGCGAGAAATAAAACCTCGTTGACAGTAAAGACATAATTTTATAGCAGTCAGGAACTAGGCAATTGATGATGAACCCATTTGCCAATCAATATTCCTCTAATAAGGCTACAGAACACCCTCAAAGCTTACATTTCCATCCTTACATTGTAGGGATGGGGTGTGCGATAGACTTACCTCCACGTGGTGCACCCTGGGTAACGTATACTCATGTGGCAAAAAAGTCTATTAACCGGCAGTTGACTTCAAACTACCATGACCCCACTGTATGTCATATTCGACTACTTTCACAGTACTCATCCCACCTTTTTTCCACCTTATCTACCTTCGTCTTTGATATACTCTTCTGTCCCC